GTTTTATGTGCTGCAGAACAGGAACCTGCTGTAAAACAGCAATTATGCTGAGTCAGGCTTGATTTTTAATAATCTTTTCCTGTTAAATAAATAAATCAAATCAAATCAAATCATCTTGAATCACATTCACTCCAGAACTTATTCACTGGTGGATGTTCAGTCAATAATTGTTTTCTGAGAGTTTTGATTCATGAGATGTTTTGCTAACAGGCAAAAAATGCAAAAGCATGATGATCTGCTTTCTCTTGAACATAACAAATCACAAAACAAAAGAACAGAAGGTGAAAAGAAAGAAGGAAAATCACCTGTTGCTGAAAGCATTAAATCGTGTGTTTTGAAACCTTCTCTGACATGTTCGATCCTCAGGGTTGTGTGAGCCAGCAGGTTGAACTTCGGCCCCCTTCAGACAGAAAACAATCAACACACTCAGTTCTTTTTAAACCTCATCATAAAGTGTGTGTTTCTGGGAGAAAAGTCCTGCTCACAGTGCAGAGTTGTGAAACGGTAACGGTGGGTACATGTGTCCGGGTCTCACATCTCCTCCACCGCAGGCGGCTGCAGACTCCAGAGCAGAACGGATCTTTTTGCTTGAAGAGCGTCCCAAAGATCCTCCCAGGAAGCTGATCTTTCGGGGGCTCGGGCCCCCCCAGGAGAAGTCTTCCACGGTACAGCTACTGTACAGCTCAACACGAAGGCGGAAATCTGGACCTACGTTATTGCTGCGCTCACAGTAAGAGAAAACAATCATTTTTAAAAATGTGAAGAAACGAGATTTGCTTCATTTTTGCAACTGATAAACCTACAAAATGATGGTGTCTTCAAAACAGATGTCTGTGAGCGTCCTGTCCACCATCACCAGGTCAGAGTCATGGATGTCTGCGCCACACTGCAGCAGGCAGAAAACGGCACAGCGGTGCAGCTCTGAAAGCACACACACACAAGTTTGCACAGCTATCCAATTGGGGACATTCCATTGACTAAAATTACATTTCTACAGACTAACCCTGACCACAAACCCCAAGGTTAACCTCACAGGTACCTACCTGACCCTAAAACTAACCTAAACTCAATTCACACCTTGGTCCTAAACCCAACCCTCAACCCACCAATGGCATTTAAACCAAATGGGGACCGACTTTTGTCCCCAAATGCACCAGTTGTCCCCAAAGGTACACGAAGGTACAAGGTAAAGGATTTTGTCTTAAAATTGCCCCCAAAAGACACCAAAGCCGAAGAGGAAATGAACTCTCCATAGATTTCAAACATCTTAGAAAATTTTGTGCTATAGTGGCAGTGCCCATGTGTGTGTATTTCCTACCATATGAGGGCCATTTTTGTACTACACACCTACATGTGCGGACCAATTGGCACAAAGGAGGAACTAAGCCTAGTCCCCATTAGAGGAATTGCTAGAGCCATTGGTGTGATGGGCTTTAGGTTTAGGGTCAGGTATGGGCCTGTGGCGTTAGGTTCAGGGTAAATGGTCAGGATCAGGCTGTGGAAATTAATGGATGGGTCATGTAGAGATAACTGATAAAGTTTTGGAGTCAAGTTTGACACACACATGACAAATATACATATACATTAGGGGTGCAACAATACAGAAAATTCATGATTCTGTTCGGTTCGATTCTTTAGTCTCAGGGTTCGATATTTTTTCAATACAAATAACAGAAATTTCCATGTGCTTTTTAACTTGTAATTTATTGAAATTATTTATGAACATTTGCTTAACCTCAAAAGTACAGTATTTAGATTAAATGTTGCTGAAACAAGTTTCTCAGTGGATCGGCGCTAAAAAATACAGCCTAGGTGGAGTAGTCGAACACAGATCCACTGATCCTTCAACACAGAGCATCTTCAGAAGACAAGTTGATAAAATACATTTTAAAAATCTATATTGTTCCATATAAGTGTGTATTGAACCTAAAGCACTGTTCGATACGGATCGATATGGGTACATGTATTGTTACACCCCTAATATACAGTATATATGTATATATATAAAAAAAACTGATTACATTGTATGTAATTTGACAGATGTTGATCAAAATTTTATTGTGGTAGTGGTTGAGACTGACCCCAAACTCTGAACTCTTAACAGATTACATAATGTTTTTTGTTTGTTTTTTTACATTATTCAAATGCCTTTTTAAGTCGACCCTGTCTGTTAGCAAAATATCTCAGTAACCAACAAATATGTTTTGATAAAACTTTAAGAAAATAATCATTTCAAGCAGCTCAGCAATTGATTAACTTTTGGAGCTGATGCAAATCAAGAAGGCTACCACAGCTAGTTGACCTTAGAAATCAGTAAAGTGGCTTGAATTCAATTTTTAAGATTTTGAACTAAAAAAGGGTGTGGTGGTAGATAAGTGTTTTTAACAGAACATAATCTGAGCGTGACACATCGTAACGTCACAGATTTGTCCGAAACAGCTCTGACTCCATCATAAATCAACATGATCTTTGTCTTAGGTGTTCAGAAATTCTAACTGACAATTGTGCAAGATCAACATTATCCTTCTTTTCTGAGTTATACCTCCTTTGTTTTTGAAGTACTCTGAGTCTTTCCACAAGAGGGGGATTCGCAGGTCTGCAGAGCACAGATGATAAAAAGTTAGAAAAATAAAACTTTTTGCTGCTCTATCTGTAAATGTGAAGAAAAATAACAGGCTGCACTCACCTGAAAGGGAGACTCTCCCAGTGCAGGGCAGCACGTCTTCAGATGTTCTGTAGGGAAATGAATCAGTCAACCACTGAAGAAGAGCACGTATGGACAAAATACAGTAGGCTGTGAAAGTTTAACTTTTTCTTTTGTTGCCTTATGATTAAGAATTTGATTTGAAGTAATGTGTAGCAGTAACTTAGATGGACTGTCTACCTCAAGACTTTGGCCCAAAGCATTATTCTGTCTCATGCCTACTGAGAGAATAGTGATTTGATCATTTACCTCCAAGCATTGTTTACTATCTACAACTGGTAAGATAACGACAGGATGGAACAAAGACCTCCTGCTGTTTGAGTATGGTAAGAACTCTTTGATGTGCTCAAAATGGCCGTTTATCACAAAAGAACTCAAGATCTTCGCAGACATGGTGTCTGGCAGTATGGGTCTGCTAGTGAGAAAAAGCCTTTTTGAAGCCAGACTCCCTGTTGATATATAACACCCAGATCAACTTCAAAAGCAATTGTTACATACCACCTCATTTATGGTATCAGAGCGCCACCAAAAGACTGGTTTTATAATTACACCATGAATGTATGTTTTTCTGTATTTCTCATTCTGATATAAAAAAAAAAGAATTATTGTATTTTCTACGTGATTCAATCAGCTGGAACAATGTACTGTTTAATCACTTCACAAACAACCTTATTTCTGGTTTAATCAGTTTCAGTGAGGACAGACTGTAAAGAGGAAGGCAAGTCATGTGACCATTCTTCAACCAATCATGAGTTTCAGAGCCAGGACAATAGAAGTCAGTTTAGCAGCAAAGAGTCAGATGAAGAAGAAGAGGAGATGATGAAGGAAGAAGCAGCGTGAAGGCTTAGCTTCATTTTCCCTCAGGGAACAATTTTATTTTATTTTCATTTTCATTTTATTTTATTTTGTAACTTTAAAGTTGTTGATTCTTCGTTATAACGAGGGACTGGATTCATGCAGGAAGCTAGCTCGATCAGAACTTTTTCATCAACCAGTTTTCAGAAGCAGATCCCTGGTTGCAGCTTGGAGCCTGACCCCAGCCGCTTCAAGGTGCTCAGTTTGTACCCACAAGGGACCGCTCTGAAACCAGCGACACAGCTGGCACGGCTTCAATCACGCTCCGGTACCCAGGGACAACTGGAAGACATCTGATTGGTAGGACAGACACCCTTTCTCTGTTATCAGGTGGTGGCTCAGCTGAAGTAATGGTGAAGTTTCTGTATCACTGAGTTAGCATTGAAAAGGTTTGGCGAGTTTAACTCATGCATAATTCAAGTCCCCTCTTATATTGATGAATTAACAATTTCTTTTATTAACCTTTAAGTTCTTATAACCTTTGTTAGTGTAGATGAGCTTAAGTGATTCAGTTAGAATGATGCTAGAGTTATTATGGAATGACATTAATGTTTATTATTAAACCTCAAGGCTTTGATGATAATTGTCTCTGTCTGCCCAAATAATCTGTTGTATTGTGACCTCTGAATCATTTAATATAGGGTATATTTTGAAATTTCGTTTGTCTGTGTGTCATTCATTGGGTTCCGTTCTTGAAAATGATAGAATTCGCTACTCAGTAATGGAGACTGATTTAAAATCTATAAATTAATTTCCTGAAATATCAGGTGGTGCCCTTTATTAGTTAATAACTACGAGGTATTTATGATTTAGCGTTGTCAATAACATCGACAACAAGCAAATCCCTACAAATGGAACAAAGAATACTCCAGATTAAAGAAGTTAAACAGTTGTTTAAATATTTCTAAAAAAAAAATATTATAGCCCCACCTTGCAAAGAAAAAGTAAATAGATTCAAAAACTGCTCCAGGATTTATTTGAAAATAAACAATTTTTTGAGGAACCAAAGTAATTTTTTTTTGCCCAGCTTTATTTTTGTTCTACTGTTGTCACTGTTTTTGTGATCCAGCTCAAACTTATATGGTTTAAACAAGTGATCTGTTGACTTTTAACTAATCTAGTTAACATGTATCCAGATGAGCTTATTTAGCTAACACATGAGGTTTTATCATGGCTGACAGGAAGGGGGACAGTGTCCCCATACAACAAATCCATTTAAAAACAGAGCACATACAGATGATATTAAGATGATGAAATTAAGTTTACACTTAAAAGCGTATTGGGTATCCATGACATTTTTATAGTTTAAGACATAAAAGTGTTTAAGATGTATTTTCTGCAGTTGTTGTTTTCAACAATGGTTTTAAAATCCCAGTTTCTTTCAATGTAAAAGTTGCATAATGTAGGCGTACAGTGACAATAGGCAAAACAAAAGTTAATTGCCTCACAAATTGTTCTATTATCCTTGTCTAAAAGTCAACTGTATTTTATATAAATTAGAGTCTGTCATGGACTAATTATTTATCTGTTTTCCCCTTGACACTGTTCATCTCTCATATCTTTCTGATAGCTCGTTACGCTCTCGTTGTCTGGACAACGGGACTCCATGATGGACTGGTGGGAGCCTTGCGATTGGCTGAACAGTACATTTGGCGATCTATGATTGGTTGTAAACTGACACATGGTTTGGCATGCTGCATATTACTGGCTGTGTTCTGCTGACGCCCCCAGTAGCCAGCGGGCAGAACCTTCCTGATTCAGTTCTGTTTCCGATTGTTGCTCACAATTAAATCATGTTTGATTATCACATACGCAAACTTTTCTTGGCATTATTTCCAACGTGTTTCTGCTTTTGCCACCACAGTTTATTGGCGTTGTCGGCAGGATTTGGACATGGTGTTTGTTTGATATTAATCTCGCCAGGTTCTTCCATGTTGTTAGTAAAATCAAGGAGGGGGCATACGACTTGCTGTCCTGTTGGGGTCTCAGAGTCCAAGAGATCCTCTGTTTGTGATGCTGATGAATCCAGTTGTTCTTCCGGTTCTGCATCTTGAAGCAACTCCTCTCTCTCTGGTTCTGGTTCTGAAGCAGTCTCCTTATCAGTAACTGGCACGCTGTGYTCCACTGATATCTCAGTTTTCTCCAGCTGTCCTTCAGTCGTCAGCTGTTGTGGTTTTCCTGTAGCCGGAACTTTGTTCAGGAAATACTTCATGTTGGAAACCAGAAGCTGTGCTCCAGTTTGATTCAAAGTCATTCCATCAGACTTGAAGAGGTGTTTTCTTTCCCAGAAGAGATCAAAGTTGTCCACATATCTCACAGAGTGGTCAGCACAGGACTTTTCCAAAAACCCATTAAGAGCCAACAGTCTGCTGAACCTCTCAGCTCCTCCTCTGGCTGCAGGAACGGGCCCACTGAGGAACACATCCATGTTGAGATTTTTAACTGCATTCAGCAGCTGAATAAAATCCTTCTTCAGGATTTCTGACTGTCGGTTCATCACTTCATCGCTTCCTGTATGAATGACGAGCGTATTCAGAGTTGGAAACTCAGCTGCAATTTGCAGAATCTTCTCTGAGAGGTCGGACACTTTACCAGCAAAACTGAGCACTTTGACCTTTTTCTTGTTCCAGAAACATCTGATCTCATTCACCATTTTATCTGTGATGATCAGCATTTCTTTATTCTTGAAAGTCTC